AAGGTTCCGTGAGGACTTGTTTGGGTCTGGGAAGCTTTGAAGGAGCATTTTGACACTGAATCCTACTGTGGGCGGAGTTGCAATTTCAGGATCAAACTCCTGAGTCACATCAGGACTTATATTTAAATCGCTGGTAAACATCATTCTCGAGTTGAGGGGTCGCGAATGAATGAATGAATGAATGAGCACTGAGTCACAATGTGTTGCTGTGTGTGTTGCTGTAACTTGTTGAGCTTGGCATTTTTTGACACTGTGCTATGAATCGTGTAATTGCTGTGCATGCAGTATTGCAACAATACAAATGCATCTGTTGCTGTTTTCTGTGAATTATACTATTGGTCACTATATTTTGGAGAATAATAAAGATTCATTCAGATTTCCTAGGTAGATTTTTATTCCACAGCCCTGCAAACATACCTATGTAATACTGAGGTACACTACATAACATATGTGGTAATGTATCTTTAAAGGGGAAGAAACAGGAAATTCACAATCACATACATCAGTGAGGCTCTCAAAGTTGGGTGTGTGTTAATCTCCCATGGAGAGGAGTGTCTTGGGTACTGCTGCAGCACCAGAAGATACATGTGGCACCATTTTCCAAAGGCAGTAGTGATTGTAGTTGATATATCACTCCTGGGGGTAACTAAGGCTGCAAGGGTGCAGCTCCTGCATGCATCTGGCTACAGCCCAGTAACTTGTGTGCTGCAATAGTGCCTGCATTATTCCAAATGCAATGGAAGAAACAAGGCAACGCTCTGAAGACTCCTTTGGCAGAGTATTTCAAATTACCTCCAGGAAAGTTTGCTAGCAATCTCTATTTGCAGGACATCCTGGTGTGCATAAACAAACTGTTCTGTAGGGCCCCTCTGCCTAGCTTGTACAGGGGAATGAAAAGTAAATATCAGCTGTACCTTTATCGGTTATTTCAGTACCTCTAAAGTAGTACACAAGCAGCAATGTGCATCCACGCAGTATTGAAGGAAAACGAGTACTTATGAGAAGTTCCCTCCCCTGCCTTCAGGCTCACTAAAGCTGGAATGCTGGAAATGGCTACACGGCTCAGGAATCAAAAAGAAATCCTGGCTTGTCATGCTGTTGGACACCTGTTGCCTGTCCCACATTCTTCTCCTCTTCCATTTCTCATCTAGCATGTCCTCCTTGAGGTTCACTCCAGTACCTCCAGATTATCCACAGGAAGCTTGGTGGTGGAGATGGATTTGCTACCAAGGATGGCATGCAGCTCCCTGTAGAAATGATGTCTGTGGTGCCATGTAGGGATGTTAGATTTAAATTAATTGGCTAACTGAATAGTTAATGCTGGACTCGATGACTTCCTGAGGTCTGTGCCAGTCCTAGGATTCTATGACTTTGAAGGAGTCTAGTTTTCAGACATTGCTGAGAGACCACTCTTTACATACCATCCTCCTTTTGAAAACATAGATCTGTATTTTTGTACACTTTTGATTTCTTTCAGCTTAAAGTTATTGCCATTGATGACCAGCTGAGAGTCATCTATGAGGATAATATTCATTTTGACAAAGACCTTCCAGAATTTGGGTATGTTTTTGAATTTTATTTTATTGTGATGGTCAGTCCAGTGTTTTGTACCTTTGAAGAGCTTTTACACCAGTTAAATCCCATGGATCTAGTAAGTGTGGAGGCATGAACAGAGTTTCTAGCTTGTCTGTGTGTGGTATTGGCTACACTGCAAAGGTGTTGTAAACTCTTGTGATGTTTGGCACTTTCCTGAAAGCCCCAGCTCCTGGAATCCTTTTATTGCAGGAGAATCTCAGCTTTCATTTAATAAAGACATATTTTAGTCTTCATGGCTGTGGCGAAAAACTTGACAACATGAAATGAGTGCATCCTAAAAGACCAGAAAGCAAAAAGCAAATACCAACTACCCCTATTTATCATTTTTTAAAAAAAAACTTTTGATGTTTAAGCCAGTCTCATGAGTTTTTTGGGGCTGGCTCGTTATAGTTGAACATCGAAGGTTGGCAATACTGCCTTTGTGTTCGGGAAGGAGATGCATGATATGTTGACAGCAAATAAGGTTTGGAAGGGAGTTTTGGGAATATGCTGGAGCAGATCTATTGCCCAAAACTGCTCTTGGGAGACATTAAGGGTACGTCTAGACTTACTTTCACTTTCGAAAGAAGATATGTAAATTTGATGGTAATTTGCATATCTTCTTTTGATCGCTTTTCTGAAAGAGTTTTTTTCGAAAAAGCGAGCAGTTTAGATGCAGTTCTTTAGGAAAAAAACCCTTTTTTCGAAAGAACCTGTAAACCTCAATTTTTGAGAAAGAAGGTTCTTTCGAAAAAAGTTTTTTAAAAAAGAACCACATCTAAACTGCTTGCTTTTTCGAAAACAAAAAACCTCAAAAAACCCTCTTTCGAAAAATTGATTGGAAGAAGATGTGCAAATTATCACTGAATTTGCATATCTTCTTTCGAAAGTGAAAGTAAGTCTATATGTACCGAAGAGGGCCGTGCCTGCTACTCAATGTGTGGTCTAAAGTGTATACATTCCAACCTGCAAAGCTCACAGTTTTTGGACAAAACTTGTTGACACAAATTTTATATGGCAAGAAGTGGATTTCACCCATGGTGCAATGTGAAACCGTTGATAATAAACATTAGAAAGTGTAAAAGATTCTGTGACTCCTGATAGACTAAGTTTAATTGGAGCATCAAAAACTCCATGTCCTTTATTTCAGAGTAGGATTTAGTTTCTGGACAACCTGTTTGCACATGCACTTACTCAATTTATGAGTAAACTTAATTGTAAATGGCTACATTAGGTCTACAGTATGGCAGTCAGACAATATCCTACAATATCTCGAATGAACTGTACTGAATTAAGTTAAAACACATTGATTTAATATTATTAGTTTTGGGGTACATATAGATTTCCTAGGAAATAGCTTGGGGTGATGAGAATACAAACTCACCCCTCTGAAGCCAACCTTTTGGAGACACACTCTGAAGAAAGAGAGACCCCATTATGTACTAATTACCTCCTTCTAGAAACTCTAATTCCCTTTGAGTTCAGGGGTCCCTAAATACGTGCTCATTCTCAGCTGAAGCTGTGATGCATTTGTAACCAAAGAGACTCCTTTGTGGTGGGTGGGGGTGTTAAAACTCTTCTCCTGCCAGAACCCATCCATGTTAGAGAGAGGCAACAGCTAGAGAACTGAAAGCCTGAGAGTTGATTGCCCTTGCTGAATCAATGAGGGGAGATCTAGGTCAATAAGAGAAGCTCTTCTGCTGACGGAGTGATGTTGACACTGGCGCTTAGATGCGATGTAAGATACATTTAAGCAATTTGTAGTATAAACAAGGGTTCACCATGGATAATCTTTATGTGGGTATTTGGCTTTTTGTCAAATCGCTTTGTAAGAAACCAGTATAAATATATGACAAAGAGTTTACTGCTCCATGACATACATGTGGGCAGAGCCTTCCCTATGCAGAGGCTCAATGACTTCAAAGTACTGGGTAAATGTAGGAGTCTGCCCTCTTAGATCTCACTGCAGGATCAGGGCCTTTCCTTTATATTTTTTCCCTGTGCCTAGTCAAAATATCAGAATGTTAGTTCCAGAGGGCAGGTTGAGTTTTCTAACTTTGTTTTAATTCTTGCTGTGCACTGAATACTATTGTGTATTCTTTGGTTGTACATGATCATGTGAAAAAACTGCTTGGAAGAGGAGAAAACGAACCAAATGTGAAAAAAGACAGGTTCTCCTCCCACCTCAAGTAAAAATATTGTCTTTGTGCAGGACTCATTGCGGAGTCCACGTCCACAGTGATAAGCTGACAGTGACTTCTCCTGTGTTAATGTGGGTCAAGGTAGGAAACTGTTTTAATTTTGGTTGACCAGGTATATTTGCGTTATTACATGATTCTTCATCTTAACTCAGGATTATCATTATGAGAAGCAATTATGATTGCCATTCAAGCTAAGATGTCTTGTTAGCTTGTTTTCTATTTCTTTTGCATGCAGTTATGTCTCTTTGAAGTGCAAAATTTCACATCATGAACAAGTAAAGCTGGAGTTTCTAAATTGTTATGCTTTTGTTTCTTCTCTCTCCATTGTATTTAGTACTAGATGCATGCAAAATATAAGTTCTTTCCTAAGTGGTTTTGAACCCATATCAGCAATAAATAAATATTGCATCTGCTGGATAAAATTTGGCCCCTTTTCCTTCTTTTTTAATTAGGAAAACATTCTTTGTTTGCAGTCTTTGTTTCATATGGAAGAGGTGCCAGTTTGGCTTTGCTTTGTTTACCTCTTTGTTAATGCAACATCAGAGTTAATTTCATCCTCTGAGAATAAGATTTGTTAGTGAGTTTTTGTTTCCCTCTGCTGGCTGGCTAGCTAGTTTTGCTGTAGTGCAGTCCCTTTATGATAAGTGTAGAAAACATTTAGTTTAAAATACTGTAGGTTTCCTTTTGTGTTCTAAAAACAGATATTCACAATCCAGAGGAAAATTTTTATGATAAGTATAGAAAACATTTAGTTTAAAATACTGAAGGTTTCCTTCTGTGTTCTAAAAACAGATATTCACAATCCAGAGGAAAATTACTCATTTAGGTCCAGATTCTGTAAATGTTGCTCACAATGAATAGAATTTTACTATGTAAGTAGTCCTACTAAGGCAACATGTGTAGTGAAGTTGTGACTAAGGGTGTGTCTAGACTACAGTGTTTATTTAAAAAAAAAAGGCCTTTTTTAGAAAAAACTTCCTCTGCGTCTAGACTGCTGACACGTTCTTTCAAAAGTAAATCAAAAGAACGCGGCAGTTTTTTCGGCCGTGGAAAACTTAATTTTACGAGGAATAACGCCTTTTTTCGAAAGTACTCTTTTGAAAAAAGACACTATGTAATACAAACTGTGCTTTTTCAAAGGAGAGCATCCAGGCTACCTGGGTGCTCTCTTTCGAAAAAGTGGCTCGCTTTTTCGAAAGTACTGACTGTAGTCTAGATGCTCTCTTTCGAAAGAGGCTTTTTTGAAAGTATCTTTTGAAAAAGCCTCTTTTGAAAGAGGCTTGTAGTCTAGACGTACCCTATGGGTGGCAAAATGAAGGTCACAGTAATGACAGTATAAAGGTAGATTAATTTTTAGTCCGAAATGACTTAAAAGTATCATTTGAGAATCTCATGGCAAGGGCAAAATTTTCTGACTTGAGTGTCTAACAGCTAAGTATTTAAATCCATATTTTGCTATCTGAATAAATCATCTGAATTTCAGAGGTAGTGAACATCCATAGCTCCCATTGAAGTCAGTGGGAGTTGAGGATGCTCAGCATGTTGCAAAATTGGACATGGCACCACAAGGAATTGCATGGGTTTTCCAAATGTAAGAACAAAATAAATTGTCCCATTTTGTATGTATCAGCCTCAACAATGTCTCTTTAATATATTGAAATCCTTTGAAGACCAAACAAGAACTAAGATCTAATGATTAATCCTTTGTTATTCAACCTGTTTGAAGATTTTTTTTTGTTTTAAAAAGCACTTCTGCTTAGATTAATTTATTCAATTTCTCAAAAAATCCCTAGTCATTAGCTAATTTTTCATTGTCTCTTATTGAGGCCTTATCAGTGATGATAGACACTTACAATTTAATTCTGAGGGCTGTGAGTATGCATAATTTGGTAGCTCATTACAATCATTCTTGATTCTGTTTTTTCTTGTAGGCTCTGGATATGATCTTGGAAAAGATGAAGTCTTCTGGCTTTAACTTCTCTCATGTGAAGGCTATTTCTGGGGCTGGGCAGGTCAGTTTTTAAGGGGGAAAAATCAGTCATATTGTATATCCTCAACAAAGTACTAAGGCAGGAGTGGGGAACCTAAGGCCCCGGGGCCACATGCAGCCCTTGGCTTGCTTGGATCTGGACCCTGAGACTCAGGGCTCTCCCACCCCAGCACTGGGGAGCCCATGCTGATTCTCTAGCCTCCCCACCATTCCATTGTGGGGCTGGAGCGCACAAAATCTACTATCCCGGGCCCCTCTAAGCTCTGGTGTGCAAGGGAAATGTGGGGAGTGTCTTTCTGCTTCTCAGTTGGGAGCCATATCAGTGAGGGTTTGTTTGGGTTCTTTTTGTTTCTCACTTGTGTGTGGCCCCTCACTGATTTTTCTGTGGGTCAGCGGCCCCCAACCCAAAAAGGTTCCCCACCCATGTACTAAGGAATAATGATACATATTATTTAGTAGTATTACAACAGCTCCAAAGGCTTCAATTAAGATCAAAGTTTCTTTGTGCCAGACACTGTATAAATACATAATAAGGGACAGACTCTGCCTGAAGAACATAAAAGCCAGTTTAGTACAAGATGCAACTTGCATACAACTGCAAGAAAAGAATAGGACAGGGAGGACAAGGATAACAGTGTGGATACTAGGTATGTAAAAATTCGTTTAAAAAGCTAACCGTGTTAACAGCAGAAAATTCCTAGTGGTTAATAGGGTTGCCAGATGGTTTCAACAAAAATACCAGACACACTTGACATTACATCACCATCTACATTACATCTTATTTAGAAAATACCAGACATTTATATTTTCTCAATTTGTTTCCTGAACAGAAAGCTCAAATACTGGACTGATCGGTTCAAAACCGGACACCTGGCACCCTAGTGGTTAAACACTGCAGGCTGTACAGTATAAAGTTTAGATTAGCTTTATACTGTAGAGCCTGCCCTAGGAGCAGAGCTGACAAGAGCTGCCAGCCCCGCTCCTGGGGAGGAAGCTCTACTGACACAGCCAAGCTACTTCCCCAGGAGTGGGGCTGGAAGGGGTTGCTGGCTCCCGCTCTCAGTGAGGTTTCGCTGCTGTAACTAAGCTGCCTCCCTAGGCTATGTCTACACTGCAGAAAAAAAATGTCTTCCTGCTTTTTATGGGGAATAATGCTAATTTTGAAATAGCATTAGTGTGGACGCTCTGGTGCCACTATCTTGAAATAATACTTCCCAGAGTAATTTGAACTAATTATTCCCCAGTGCTTCCTGGGGCTCAAATTCGAGGTAGCGCATCAACATTAATGGAGCCTGTCTCGGACTAATTTCAAGGCTTCCCCGTAGTGAGGACATGCTATTTTGATTTTGTAAAATCAGGAGTTAAGTCGAATTTAGTTATTTTGAAAGAGTTTCCTAGTGTAAGATATGCTCTTACATTTTTGCAAACTTGAGGCGTGCTTTGAGATGGAGCAGGAAGTTTGAGTAGCTGTGTCTGCAAGATTAAGGAGAGGGGAATTTAGTGAAGAGCTGAATATGCCAGATCTATTCAAGGTACAGCTATCATCCCTCTCCTCATAGCTCTTCATATATTAGGTGGTACACCAGGCATCTGCAGAAATAATGGAAACCAAAGGATGGCTGACTTGTATGCAAATGTTCAGGGGTTGTGTCTTCCTGTATATCATGCTTATGGCTTCTCCAGTTTTAGCCTATATAATATATTGTCTGTCTTTCGAAGATGTCAAAGTACTTAGACATTCATTCATCTGTTAAGCCTCACACCATGCCTATGAGGTAAGCAGGTTTGAGACCCATTTTGCAGTTGTGTAAAGTGAAGTGGAGAGAGATTATGGCAGGCATTATCCAAGGTGTCCACTAATTTTTGGTGTTTACGTTACCAGTTGCTGAGCTTCAAAATCCTAGGACTGGTAAATCAGAGGTGCTGAGCCCTTGCAGCCTCCATTCACTTCAATTAAAGGCTTGGGTGCTCAGAAAATCAGGGGCTATATATTTTGAGTTGAATACCCAAAATTAGTGGTGCCTAACGGACTTGCTCTGGGTTGCACAGTGGATTAATGGCAGACAAAGTACCTTGAGTATGACTGCAGAACTCAGTCATTCTGATTACTGTTTTTTTCTGCTTTAAACAGTTAGGCTACGTCTAGACTACATCCCTTTTTCATAAAAGGGATGTAAATTAGACGTATCGCAATTGCTAATGAAGCGGGGATTTAAATCTCCCCTGCTTCACTAGCATAAAAATGGCTGCCGCTTTTTTTCTGAATGGCGCTTTTTTCCGGCAAAGCTCCAGTCTAGACGTTGATCTTGCGAAAAATAAAGCCTTTTCCGAAAGATCCCTTATCCCTCTATGAAATAAGAGGATAAGGGATCTTTCGGAAAAGGCTTTATTTTTCGCAAGATCAACGTCTAGACTGGAGCTTTGCCGGAAAAAAGCGCCATTCAGAAAAAAAGCGGCAGCCATTTTTATGCTAGTGAAGCAGGGGAGATTTAAATCCCCGCTTCATTAGCAATTGCGATACGTCTAATTTACATCCCTTTTATGAAAAAGGGATGTAGTCTAGACGTAGCCTAACTGTTTAAAGCAGAAAAAAACAGTAATCAGAATGACTGAAATCCTTTGTGCAGGGCCCAAAATGACACAGTTATTCTGTGGAACCCTGGCTTCACTTTAAAGCTGTGCTTTTATGGTAGAATCCTTGGGTAAGTCAATAGCTGCAACTAGCAATATTATCATATTGCTCACTAGATGCTGCTTTAGTTAATGGTCTACATTTTTGCTAGGTAAACATTTGAATTTGATGATTTGGCATGTACATTGTTCATTCTTGAAGTGTAATTAAATGAGCTAATTGTTCTGGATGTGACAAAAACGGGGAACTGTTAAATTAATTTAAATTGTGTCTCATTTTGGACATGGTTCTCTTTTTAATGTTTGAAATCCATATTGAAGTCTGTATTTGACATCCTGGGGGCCATCTTAAATTTAAAAATGTATATCCTCTACAGCAACATGGGAGCGTGTATTGGAAGCAGGGAGCCAGCCAAATTTTAAAGAATTTGTCACCTGATCTTCCTTTACATCAGTTACTGAAGGTAATATATGCAATGAAAAGCTTTGAAGGGAGAGTGAGCACACACAGTTCTCTTTCTGACACTTAACAGTTGCTTTTTGCTTCCAAAGTATTTCCTTTGTCTGTTTCTGTTAGAAGCCACTGCAATATACATTTCTCCCCTTTAGCTCAAGGATTTTAGTATTTCATTTTCCTCCCTGGCATGACAACTTACTATTTTGTTAAAATATGCATCACCCAATGAGCACCACAATGTATGGTCTGTTTACTGTTTGTACAAAGCTTAATATTTTTAACACCTTTACAATTATGGTTAATATGTTCAGATTCACTATATTATAATTTCAATTCACAAGTTTTTATTAGCAAGAATACTTTTATGAAACAATAGATTTATTTCTGAAGGTTCAAATTATGGTCCTAGGAGCTCCTGAGCACAAAATGGGTGCTTGGGGTTGTCTTGTGGACATAGATTTGAAAAGCCCTCTCCTTTAAAGATGTAAAGGTCTGTTTGTCTATTGAAGCCATCTAAATTCAAGTTACATTTTGAAAATCAGCCTTTCCCACCTTGAGATCAAGAACTTTTAAACATTTGAAGGAGACAATAGACTCATCTATTTAAATCTCAGATGTCTATATCTGGCTTGCCAAATGAAAATATTGTCTGCAATAAACATGTGAAGAACTTCTGGGAAATGAGTTAAAAAACTGCACAATGGAGTTCTGAGTGTCAGGGGAAGGGTTCCCAGAAGATTATAACTAGTCATTGGAAACAACAATCTCAGTACAACACCAAGAAGAATAATTATAGTTATCCATATGGCTAAATCCTGACAACAGGAGCAAAAGGACCAGCACAATTCTTTCACAGCATGAAGTACAGCAGAATTCAGGAAAGGAATCCTGAGCTTAATCATTTGCTTCAGGGCCTGGTAACCCGCATTGCTGGCCCATAGCTAGCTACTGCAAGTTAGGTAAAAGAGTGGCAGCTTCAGCCAGCTTCTCCTCATTATTGGAGATTGCTTATCTCCTAGAACTGGAAGGAACCTTGAAAGGTCATCAAGTCCAGTCCCCTGCCTTCACAGCAGGACCAAGTACCAACACTGACAAATTTTTACCCCAAATCCCTAAATGGCCTCTACAAGGATTGAACTCTCAACCCTGGGTTTAGCAGGCCAATGCTCAAACCACTGAGCTATCCCTCCTCTCCAATGCAAGGTTTGGCCTGGGGTTTTCACATTGTTTACAAAGCTATTGGCCGTGTCCCCAACATGCTAGCTTCATGTGGATTGTAGATGTATGTAGAATCCAGTAGTGGGAAATCTCCAGTGCAACAATGTGGCATTTCCGTGTCCATGCTCTTGCTGTTCTTCAGCATGCGTCAAGCCTCTAACTGCCTGATGCTAGGATTGGATGACATGGGATGGGTCATTTGATGACAGCCTTGCTCTGTTTATTTCCTTTGAAGCATCTGGCATTCACCACTGTCAGAAGACAGGATACTGGGCTAGAAGTACCCTTGGTGTACCCTGTATGGCTGTTCTTGTGTTCTATTGTATTTGGGCCCAGAGTGGGCACAGATACCTATTTAGGATTTGTCCATTAGTGTGGAGTGATAATCTTTTTGATGATTTATTTCCCCTTCCCCCTCAGGCTTGCTTTTCTGTCAGTGACAGCCCGGTTTGGATGGATTCCAGTACTACCACCCAGTGCTTATCTCTTGAGAAAGCTGCTGGGGGAGCGCAGCAGCTAGCTAATATCACTGGTTCGCGAGCCTGTGAGGTGAGAAGTGGAGGAGGAAAGAATGAAAGTTCATACAGTCTCACTGCTGTCTCATGACAAACTCTGAAAATAATTCACAGCCAGTAAGTGTGGCATCAGTATGGGGCTGAAACTTATGAAGAGACAAGGTTAGTCTATATTGAAAAACCTGTCTGGCAGTGAAATGTATTTGGCTTTGCAATAGCCTCATAAAGGAAGGGATGATGTCCTATTGCTTGGGAGTTATAAAATTAGACTATTTGAAGTGTTAGAAAATGCACTGTGTGAAACAACTTATATTGGCAGAAAAAGGGACTGGATGAACTATTACTATAAGTTACTTCTCTAATTCCGTGTATCAGTTCCTTAGCTGGTTGGGCTCTGCTAATTTGCTCAAGTTGAGGAGCTGTCAGTTTGATGCAGGTGAGAAAAAAGATGCAGGAGCAGATGAATTTAAATTTTTGCTTTCATGCAGATGTCTATAGTAATAAAATATATTACAGAAGTGTTTCCAAATATAATCTCCTTTGATCACCACCACTTACTCCTTGCAGTATTAATTTTAGTCAAATTGATAAAACTCTCTAAAGAAGACATCTGGAGCCTGGCAACAGCACTATCAAGCCCTACCCAACACCCATCTCTTCATAGGTAAAGGAGAAAAAATGGGCCTTTATTGCTCCCTGAGAGTTAACAATCTCAGACCATTGTAGACCTGGGGGGATGAGAGTTCCAAATGTCCATGGTTATTACAGAGTGGTCCATCATCACACCCTTCTTATTGCAATAGGACTCCAGATCAGGCACCTCCTCCTACCACAATTGTGACAATATGTCATGGAGTGAGGGAAGTCTTTTACATCAGTGGTGCACAAACTTTTAAAGTCGTTTCCCCCCCCACTTACCATTTATGGAATTTCTCACCTACCCCCCCCATCACCTGTAATTTGAAGTGATCCCTTCTGCACTGCTACTGGCAGTGGCGCTGCCTTCAAAAGTGGGCTGCCAGAGCAGTGGTCCCAGACCTTTCGGGAATTCCGGGTGCCCAGGGGCAGGGCCGCTCACACGCCGAGCATCCGGGGGCGGGGACGCTCATGCACCGCGCACCCAGGGCCGGTGCCACTCCTGTGCCGTGTGCCGCGTGCCTGGGGCTTGCACTGCGCATGCACCGCGCCCCGGGGGTGGGGCTGGCTCAAATCATTCGGCAGGCACACATAAATGCCCCGGCAGGCGCCATGGTTCCCGTGGGCACCACGTTGGGGACCACTGTGCTAGAGAATGGTGGCTGCTGGCTGGGACATTCATGATCTTTGTGATGTGAGAGGACTGTTTTTTAATCCTGGGCTTGACCCACCCTGAAATACACTTTGGCTACGTCTAGACTGGCATAATTTTCTGCAAATGCTTTTAATAGAAAAGTTTTTCCGTTAAAAGCATTTGCGGAAAAGAGTGTCTAGATTGGCACGGGCGCTTTTGCGGAAAAGCACTTTTTGCGGAAAAGCGTCCGTGCCAATCTAGATGCGGTTTTGCACAAGAAAGCCCCGATCGCCATTTTCGCCATCGGGGCTTTTTTCCGCAAAATAGTACTGTGCTGTCTACACTGGCCCTCTTGCGCAAATACATTTGCGCAAGAGGACTTTTTCCCGAACGGGGGCATCATAATATTTGCGGAGGACCACTGACAATCTTACATCAGATCGTCAGTGTTTTTGCGCAAATTCAAGCGGCCAGTGTAGACAGCTGGCAAGTTTTTCCGCAAAAGCAAGTGCTTTTGCGGAAAAACTTGACAGTCTAGACGCAGCCATTTTGTTTTTATCCCACAATACCTGCTCCTTTTTAAAATCTCACTCCTGCTGTTATTAGTGATACCATGGGATCCTAGCTTCTTTAATCCCCCCCCCCCCCCAGTTTGTGTAACCCTGTTTTAGACAAGTAGCATATATAAATAGCACCTAGTTGTCAGTTTGTTAGTGAAGGTGAATTCATCAAAATGTCCTATTCCCTTGCATAGATCCTTCTTTTGATTTATTTTGCAATTTACTGTATGTTCATTTGAGTTGAAATGAAACTTTAAACAATGCAAAATGTTGCTTTTTAACTTAAAACAGGCAATTAACTAATTAACAAAAAAGTTCAGCATCTTAAGTGTTTTTCCTTTATCTGATTTAACACATGTATGAGACATAATTATAGGCAGTCCCCGGGTTACATGGATCCGACTTACATCAGATCCCTACTTACAAACGGGGTGAGGCAACCCAGCACTAGCTGCTTCCCTCCAGCAGACCAGGGAGACACGAAGCTAGCGCCCCCCCAGCAGACCAGGGAGATGCGGAGCAGCTTTTCTCAGCAGACACCTCAGCTTGAGAATAAAGGACTGAGGGAAGTGAGGCGTGGGAGAATAAAACTGAGCTCTGGAGAAATGTTTGGCTAGAGTTTCCCCTACTATATGTACCAGTTCCGACTTACATACAAATTCAACTTAAGAACAAACCTACAGTCCCTATCTTGTACGTAACCCGGGGACTGCCTGTACTCCTTATCCATTAATGCTTTCTGGCTTGTAGTACCCTGTCCTCCATTTACCCCATCTATGCAGAGTTGTATAAATTGGGAACATTTTGAGGCTTTGGAGGCAATGTTTGCAATATATTGGGTTCCTCTGTATGTAATAAATTATGATTTGTTCCACTGAACTGTCATTTCTGAAACATAAATTATGGATAGTAATGCTTTTTTCACAGCCTTTTTCCAAAAGGTGAGCAAAATTCTCATAATGAGACTATGCATTATAGCCTGTTTAGTGCAGATTGCCTGCTGTGCACTGACTTTCATCATGCATCAGGCAAATTAAATATCCAAAGTGCAATGTACTGAACTCATTACACAGAGTTAATGACTATTGACTCTATTTAGCATTTGTATTCCTAATCATTTGCATTTCTCTCTCAGCGTTTTACTGGAAACCAGATAGCAAAGATTTACAGCCAGAACCCTGAGGTCTACGCACAAACTGAGGTTGGCTCAACTTCAATAAACTTATTGGAAATCACAGATGAAAATCATTTTAATTTTGTTAAGGAAATAAATAAGTTTTTGCTAAAAAGAAATGCATGTTATTTCTTGCATTAGTTGTCATAATGCAAAATATATAATATGGGGGTTGTGATTTTATAAAGTGGATCTATTTTTTTTAATCATCTCAGTTAATTGGCATATGACAATCACACACCTGATATTTTTAGATTGATGTATTTAACATTGTGAATACTTCTGGGTCACAACATTTTGAATCAAAATTTAAAAATTAGGCCTTAATTTTGCCTGCACAAAATTGCATGTGCACCAGTTTGTGCAGATATTGCCATATTTGGTCTCGCAAGCATGTGATTATGCATAGTTAATACATGCAAATGGTTATTCTGTGGGTGTATCAGTGCAATGTTTGCTGTTGCAAAACAGGTGCCAGGCATTGTTACCTAGGAAAAACTGGAGGTTGAGTTGATATTGTTTTGACAGATTGGTCTTCAAAGTTATTTTGATTTTATAATGATTAAAATGAATTAAAAATTTCAAATGTAAGTTTCCTTTTTACTGAAATTGAGAAATCAGCACTAACAATTATTATTTTAACTGCTCAAGGCTGAAAATCTGATGTTCTGCCTCAAGCAGTGACTAATATTCAGTGTTTCAGAGCAAGGTGATAAATCCCTTTGAAGCTGGCTTCTTGAGTGTATCGGCTCCTGCCTGCCCCCCTCACCCTCCACGCTGCTGCCTCTCTATCATAGGCAGCAGTGTGGGAGTGAGCAGTTGGCTCTGCAGGATCTGGTGCTTGTGGGGAGCTGGCTTAAAAGCTAGCTTCCCACTGGCACTGGCTCCCTGCCTCTCCTCCCCGCCCCTTGCTGCCTCTGTATGAGAGGCAGCAAGGGGCGGGAGGGGGATGCATGTAGTCATTTGATTAATCATTGAAATGACTATATGTTAGCATCCCTAATTTTAAAATACCTTCCTGATATGGACAAGTTGATATCCTGCTGCAGTAAGTCTCACAGGTTCACCATATACTTTGTAAAGAATGTTTTTCTTTAATATTGTTCTCTCTGTATTTTCATGAATGTCATTGTGACACTTCTTGTTCTAGGGTGAGAGGATATGGAATGGATAAAAGACAAACTACATATTCTGGTCACAGATTTAAGAATAAATTCATGCAGAAGTGAATTAAGCCAGGATCCTTGTGATCTGAGTCCTTGATCAGATCTAGGGGCTGAGGAGTAGATTGTAATTTGGCTTCCCTAGTTGTGCTGAAAGGGATGTGGCAGTGCCATATTATAACCAGAATTCCCCAGAGGAATTCTGTCTTGGTAAGAATTTATCTTAAGGACCTGTATGCAGTACACACATTACTTTGTAGCTCGCTACTTTATAGATCAATGTTTCCCAATTTTATTTGGCCATGGAACCCTTTTAAACTCAAAATAATTTTGTGGAACTCCAAATAACAGTCTAATATATGGAACTGAAAATGTAGACCACAAATAAGTAAGGATAATAATAAACAAATGCTAAACAAGGTCGTGAGATCAATATTTAGCTTAATTGCACATATTTAAAAACAAAAATCACATAATATTAATTATTATTTTTTTTAATCATAAAATGTTGTTGTAATGGAATTTTCTCGCAGATCCCTTATTTTCACTTTGCGGAACACCATTTGGAAAACATTGTTATAGAGGATGCGGTGTGTTCCCTCCACTGTGCCAGCCTGTTTTTCTGGATGGTTTAGAGAGCGGAGCCAGAACCAATCTTTAATCCAACCCTCCTCATTCTCTTTCAGGCAGCTAGTGTTCATTGGAGTACAAGGAAGGGCTGGGTCCATCTCAGCCATGCTGAAATGTGTCCCTGAGTAGTGCCTAAAGAAGGTATAGAGAGTCATTAAGTCTTGCCATCCTTATGACCCTCCTTAGAGACCATCTACCGTCTATCTCTGAGAAGTGAGTCTGTGGCATAGTAATGGGTAGCATAGTTGATTGCTATCAGAGGGTTAACTGCAGGGGTGGGCTATGTTGCTTGACTTGGGAAGAAGTTGATTGACTCAGGAAGACGAGTGCTCATGTTGGGGTGATGGAAGAGTCTCTCACAAAAGGAGACGTTTGTAAGATCTCGTCTGTGTTTAGCTTTGGTTTCCCTTTGGGTTCACCAATAGATGCTATTGGTATGATTTCTATGCTGTCAAGTATTCTTTGATTTTTCTGTCTGCTTGTTTTTTTGTATCTAGACTTATTTTTATTAAATTGTGGCCCTTAGATATATCATGGCTGTACAGTAATGTGTACTAAGGCAGAATACATTCCTATATTGTGTGTATGTTGTATGTTTCATAAGGTTTCTTTTTAGATGGCTGTCTACTATAAGCCCAGGCAAGAAAATTTTACTGGATAATACTTTCTGGCAGACAGTACCCATTGCTGAAATTTTATTAGTATGTTGTTGCTTTGACTTACACAAGCTGCAGTTGTTTTGGCATCAGAGTTGATGAGTGTTACTATTTCATGTTATCTTTGTCTTTCAGAGAATCTCTGTGGTTAGTAGCTTTGCAGCATCCCTTTTTCTAAGTGTGTATGCACCCATTGATTATTGTGATGGTAAGTGTTGTCTGTTCTTTTTGGGTGGGAACAGTTCTGCATGGGAGTTTCCCTGTCTCCCCATCATGAATAGAAGAAGGACAAGGTGTTTCCCACATGTTTAAGTATTACTACCCTGATAAGGAATGTATTTTAAATGTGTAGCTCTGCAATGAATTAATTACTCTTATTTTAGTGTTCATCTTAATACGGTTACCTCTTTGCCCCCAGGTGCATGCATGCGTGTGTGCGTGCAAACATAAAAACTGACCTCCTCTTTCTATCAGGATCCCTCAAAGATTCTTTTAAAAATGAGTTTGTGCACTTTGTTTCTACTTTATGATGTACTAGAAGACTTGCCCAGGTCCTTCAGGGCAGAGCCTTGGGGATGTGTGTGTGGGGAGTGTAGGAGGCTGGGGGCCAGGGGCATATTCTCTCCCTCCTAGCTTCCTCTTGCCCACATGGGGTTGTTCCCCTCCCCCCACCCCAAGTTTCATGGTTAGATATTAAGGCAGTCAGTGAAGTGGTAGCATAAAAAGATGGTAAAGCCAGAATTGAAGACACAGGTGGAGATCAAGTTCAACTCACTATTTCATCTCCTTTCTAGTAACAAGGCTGGGAAGAAGTGCAGTATCTCTCACTTCAATAAGGTAGCAAGGAATTCATATCTGCATCCCCCTCTTGGGCAGTTTGGAACCTCATATATGCTTTGGGCTCTGTGTAGGATTTAGGAGTTAGTGACAGGCCAAAATCTAGCTTTAAAAGTGTCAATTTTTTAGGGCCTCTGAACCCTCTTGGCCAGCTGAGCTGCTTTTTTCTTAATGTTCTCCTTGGCAGGCAGGCCCTCTACTTTCCCTTTCCCTTAGGCGACAGGTCAGGGAGGAGCAACTAAAAAAAGTTCATATAGCTTTTATCTCAGAGGTTTGAAGCAGAGAAACCAAACTTAAACATGATCTGTACTTAAAACTTAGCTCGACATAGCTACTGTGCTTAGAAGTGTAAAAGGATATCAATAAAAGAATGCTTCTGTTAACCTATATGGAGTAGGGATGTTAGCAATCGTTTAATTAGGTAATTGTGTACCCGCACAATTTTAACAGTTACACGATTATTCGATGGCCCCTGTGGGCGAGGATGGCAGCCAGTGCACTCCTGGCCTCACTCTCAGGGAGCCTCCTGCTACCCTACATTGCTGCCTCTGTATCAGAGGCAGCGGTGTGGGGTGGCAGGCGGGAGCCAGTCCTCATGGGGAGCTGGTTTTTTAAACCGGCTTTCCTCATGGATCGGCTCCCGCCTGCTGCCCCGTGCTGCTGCCTCTGATGCAGAGGCAGCAGCATGGGGCAGTAGCAGCCCCTGTCTGTGAGGGGCCCCAAGCTCCTTGCGGATAGAGGCTGCTTCGGCGTCCCACAGAACAGCCTCTGTCCGCAGTGAGCCTGACTCACTGTGGATAGAGGCTGTTCCACGGCAGCAGCATTTAAAACTTCAAAATGTAGGCTGGGGCTGAGTCAGCCTTCCAGTCCAGAGTTTTAAATGCAGAGCAAGATGTGTGTGTTGTGGTTAATTGGGACTGTTAACTGACAAGTATCCATAATATGGAGTTATTACAGCAGTGGAAAAATCCCACCATGTAGTGGCCAGAGGGACTATGGGTCCTCTCTTTCCTACTCTGTTAGCTTGAGGCAGGGCAGGATAGGGTTCCTTGATTGCTCCCGGGATTGCTTTCACTGGAAGTGCATGACTGTCCCTGAAAGGCATAATACACCTGACACAGACCCTAAAACATGCAAGGCTGTCTATGCTTATCTACTGCCAGCATGAAATGATCATGTTTATGACCTAGTCTTAATGTAATTAGCAATTTCAGTATTTTGTTTAATTTTCAGTGTATTGATGATGTAAACTTCTTTTTTTTTTTTTTTTTTTTGTGGGGGGGGGGGGGGGGCTGGAACATATTGAACATATTTCCATTAAGAATCCATCACTCCCATCATCTTTATTGCAGCTTTTGGACAGTTAGTGCAACCCTTGGATATTTTGGGAGTTCAGGGTGCCCTCATAGAGCCCCTGAGCCCCTTGGGGGATCAGTCCCAACATTCTGTACTGAAATGGTCAAAACACTTTTGGATTTTTTGAGTATGTGAGGAAAAAATGACTTTTCAAATGAAAATAAATGTTCATTTTGGTTGAAATGTTCCATATATTTTTGATGAAAAACTAAAATGGTGTGGTTTCTGAAAACTTTTTTCAGAGAGAGAAGAAAGGGATGAAAAACCAACTTTTTCAGTTTTGGAAATTGAAACTTTTTGGGGTGGGTCAAAAAAAAATGTGAAAAACTTTGCATAAAATGGGAATTTTTTTGTTTCAATTGAAACTTTTCACATATAACTTTTAACCAGCTATAACTTACACACATGGTACCCATCTAATTCTGTTGTTCCTCTGGACATTTAAATATCTAGAGTAAATATTCTGTTCTGAGGATGTAAAGTTATTAAACCTTGGTGTGAAAAAGATGGGAGAGTGAAATCATACATTATGGTGCCACTCTTTACTAGATGAAAGTTAAATTACATGTTGTCTTCCATCCCTTGTCTTCTGTTAACATAATGGGAGATCATCCTAATAGCAATAATAAAAATAAATATTATGCAAGATTTTTTATACTGCTGATGCAAAGCCTATTTTTTTCTCATCTTTTGCAATTTCCTTCCATTGATCCTGTATATTGTACAGGCAGTCCCCGGGTTACATGGATCCGACTGACATCGGATCCCTACTTACAAACGGGGTGCGGCAACCCCGCACTAGCTGCTTTCCCCCAGCAGACCAGGGAGACGCGAAGCTAGCGCCCCCCCCCCAGCAGACCAGGGAGACGCGGAGTGGCTTTTCTCAGCAGACACTTCAGCTTGAGAATAAAGGACTGAGGGAAGTGAGGTGTGGGAGAATAAAACTGAGCTCTGGAGAAATGTTTGGCTACAGTTTCCCCTACAATATGTACCAGTTCCGACTTACATAAAAATTCAACTTAAGAACAAACCTACAGTCCCTATCTTGTACGTAACCCGGGGACTGCCTGTATTTGGAAATAAATCTCTGAAAAAAATGGTCATATAACAGACCTACTCTTCATTTCTATAAGTTTAACTTCAGGTCACATAGGCTTTAAAAAATCCTGTCAAGTTACACTAGAGCAGTGTTTTGGAAACTGTTTTGTGGAATCACTTAGAGAAACACATTAACTGGCCTCCCCAGTTAGTTTATTTACTGGCACCGCAGAGCCTCATGTCTCCCATTGGCTACATTTCACTTTTTGCAGCCAAGTGGAGCGGTGGAAAGCGGTGGCCTGGCCCACGCTGCTTCCCGTGGCTCCCATTGGCTGCAAAGGATGAAACCGAGCCAATGGGAGCTGCGAGGGTCCATGGTTGCAGCACTAGTAAATAAACAAACCGGGGTGGCCAGTTAATGTGTTTCTCAAAGTGATTCTGCGGAACACTTTTAGAAACACTGCACTAGAGGACTAAACAATTTTGTGACAGATTGAGTTATAGAGATCCTCTTGCAGCTGTCACTGATGGACAGATCATACCTCCTGAGTCCTCCTACCTGTCGTCTGGATACCCCATCACTCTGTTCTGCTGAGCCAGAAGCTCCTCCAGCAAAAACACAGAATTGGGGTAACCACTCCTCAGCATAGTAACACAGACTCTGATAACTGTTCAGCTCTGGCAGGGCTCAGATACAAGGACTTGACAGCACCCAGGAGCACAGAGGGAGATACAAGGACTTGACAGCACCCAGGAGCACAGCCCCAAATAGGGACCAAAACACCAGATAAATCATTCTTTGTATACAAGTTTTACACACAGAAAACTCATAAATTCATCCTCCTTATCAGTGAAAGAGAGAGATTCATAGCTGTTGCTTCCCCCTTCCCCAGATAAGAATTATTTACTCTGGATTTCATAATAAACAAAAGTGGTTTTATTAAGTATAAAAAGTAAGATTTAAGTGGTTGCAAGTGATAATAGACACATCAAAGCAAGTTACTAAGTAAAAGTCAAGAACACTAGCTAAGCCTAATAATCTAAAAGAAATTGTTACACATAATAATTTCTCACCTCAGTTCTTATTTAATGTAAAGTTCTTCAGGCCAGAGCATATCTTTTTCTGACCTGAGTCTAGCTGCTTAGCTGCACCTCTGTTAGAGTTCTTTTTATTTCCTAGTGCTTTCATCTATTCTCTCGAGGTGGGTAGCTTTCTGTGAAGTCAGCTGAAGACAATCATTGTTTGCCTCCCATCCCTTACGTAGAATTTCCCGAGGGCCGGAACTCTTTGTTCAATTCCCCCTTCTCCTCTATGGAAGAGTATTTTCTGTATTTGGTGGTGGTAGTTCTGATTGACCTCAGGGAAGAGAAACACATCTCATGTCCATGGAAAGTGTGCTGTGTCGAATTCCTGCTTCTGAATCATAGGGCAAATTAACCATCATATAATTTATTAAGTGTATTTAATTTGCATAAAAGGAAATTGAGTCAATCAAATGCATTTAATTTCATTTACATATCACTAACTCAAGTAAAATGTAATCTGAATTTCTTACGATGTAGCCTGAGTTATTCCAGTGTCTCAAAAGTGTATAATACACTCTCTTTGTAAAGCTGGGCTGGGTTATTTGGTTTAAATATACCTTACGTACTTACTGTTGGATATGTCTATAAAATGTTAAGACACCAAAGTGCAGAGATCTAGCATATTCTCTCTCTCTCTCTATGTATGTAAGAGAGACAGAATGCTTGCAGAAGAGGGGCCGCACTGGCAGTTGGGGTTGTTTCTGCACCCTATGAGCACTGTGGATGGGGACTGTTTAATAGCTTTAAATGACTTGGAGCAGAGGAGGGTGTTAAGAATTACGGTGTGGCATCTACCTCAGTGCTTGCATATCCAATAATTTCATATACAGTTACCTTCTGATAATACGGCACCTTCAGGAGCCAGGGGGTGCCGGATTATCAAATATGCTGGACCATCGGAAGGGGGGGCTATGAGGAGTCTGGGGTGGAGTGGGGGGGATGTGCCCCATGGTGCTATGGGACCAACCCGGCAGCACCCCAGCTGCTCTGCCTGCAGCTGATCCAATTGTCCGGCTGCCCGGAGCACTTCTGGGTTCCAGATGGTGCCGGACCATCAGGAGTGCTGGACCATTGGGTGCCGGACCACTGGAGTTTTACTGTACTTGTATGGGGGATGCAGAGGGGCCATATTGCAGTTTAGTGGTCTGCCAGTTGCTTGGGGAGTGGACTACTTTTCATTCCCTCCCTCTCCAGCCCCACAAAACTCTATGGAGAGCCTGATCGCACAGTCTATGTGCTGAGGGCAAGTTTCATTCTCCCTGTATGTATGCAAGTGTCTAAAGGTCAGTAACACTGAGCAAAATTCCACTGGTTTCAGATTTACCAGTCATTTTGAACAATGACTGAGTTTCTGTCATTGAAAAAAGCAGGTTCTTGGGCTAATTAGCTATAAAAGCAAAAATGTCTTTAGCACAGGATAACATTATTAGTAAGTTAGCAGGATTCACCTCTGGTTATTAAGAGTGCAGTGAAATATCTAATTAAATATATCTTAGATTAGTACAGGATATGAGCTGTCACAGTTGGTGGTCAGTCGATCATGAGTTTTAAAAATGTTCTTTTTAGCTAGAGGAGAAGCTGGAGCAGTGTAAATGGAGTTACCTCAGCTCTAATCCTGGCTCTGACAGAGAGTCACTTATGTGGCCTTTGCCAATCATTAAGACTGAATTAAAAAAGAATCCAGTAATTCATACATTAAATATGATTTTTGAGGTGCTGAGTACCCACAACTCTCATTGAGATCAACTCGACTTGAAGACATTCAATAAGTCTGAAAATCATGTCTTAAATGTATAAAACTGAACACTCAAAATTTGTATCACACAAAATTAGAGGTTATTTTTTAAAATTTGGTCCATGACAAATCAGGATCAGTTTTCCCCTTTGGAAAGGGGGTAATAATACAAACATAACCTTACAGGGATTTTAGAAGGATTAATAAGGGCTAAATGATGGACTAAAATCACCCCCCAAGCTAGGTACAAGGCAAAAGTACATACCACCTTTGTAGGAATTCCTGCAATATTGTGCCTCAGGCACAATTCCCTTATGCAAAGAGAATGCAGTTGCTGCATCATCCTTTGATTGCGTGCAGCATGTGCGTCTCATTTTGCTGGCTAGTATTGAGGGATTGCAGGTTCTATGGATGTATTCCCCACCTATTTTCACAGTCTAGCCTCACCGGTTGGAGGGCAAGAAGTTTGGCTATACCTGGCCCCTATGCAGTGGGAAAGATTTCTAGCCCTTTCCAAAATGAAAACTACCACAGAGTTGTGCGTTGGTAACAGTACAGCATCCCTGAGCTCTGCCGAGCTGAGACCATTCCATGTCAGTATTAAATGTCCCATGTTTGTGTATAGTTTTTTCTCTGCCTTTAGCCAGGTGAAATCCTCTAATACAGTATCTTTGTTTTCTTTTCATTAATGTAGTCTCATGTTTCAGGGTTTACATCTCATGTTTTTATGCTGTTGTCTCATAGGTTCTGGAATGAATTTACTGCAGATTCATGATAAAATGTGGTCCACTACCTGCCTTAGTGCTTGTGCACCAGGATTAGAAGAAAAGCTGGGACCTGTTGTGCCATCCAGCTCAGTACTGGTATGTGCTTGTGGAGGATAACTGCGGATGAACAAGGCACTGGAACATTTCAGGGGTGTGCTCTGTGTGTAACAGTAGGGTCCTTGTGATCTATGTTTGTAGAGGGAGGCTGTGCTCCAGTAGTAAGCTCCCCGAGCTGTTCTGACTGACCTAATATGTTCAGGAGTACTATGGAACTGCATTCCAGAGCAGGAGTGCTGATAACTTTGAAAGGATGCACAAGCCCTACTTTGGTGGCTGTTGGCTGTCACTATTTTCCCCAGGGTCTTTGCATGCTGCGGATACAAAGACTAAGATTGTGGTGACCCCGTTAGCAATGCTCAAATGATAGAAGTCTCTCTTCTTTCCTTGCACATCTGCGAACAGTTGTTTGACTTAAGAGTGAATAATACTGTATTTCTAACACTGAAGAAATACGATTATCTGACATTCAAGCTTCTCAAGTGCAGTAGAGTATGGTAGTTATAAAGTTTGAAGGACTCATGCAATAACTTCAGTCAGTTATCAGGTTTATTAAAAGCCCTCTGTTCCCCTAGCATATCTTTGTTATATTGTCAAAACAAATCTGGCTGAATACCTCTTGAAATAGATTGATTTGGTCTGATCAGTACCACCAAAAGAAAGAAGAGTCTTTGGCTGCTATTTGTTGGTTTTGTTATTGGGGAGACATGAAAAAATGGAATCCTTAACCATAAAATAAAAGATAATCACTGATGAACATTTATATCGTGTGATGGTGATGCATACTAGTTGTGTGTTTGCATATCATTCTGTATTTGTCTCATTTTTAATATTAATATATACGTGGATGGGGAACATGTGCATTTATGTGCTGAGTACCTGGAAGGAGATCTCAAGTCAAAATGCTGCTGTTGGCTTCATTTCAGAATTTGATCTGAGGGAGGTTTTCAGGAGGTTTACTTGTTGGTATCTTATAAAAATGTTAGCTCAAAAATCTCTAAAGCACAACAGTATAAAATAAATGTAAATAGTGATTGTAACTTCTATAGAAGTACTACAGAATTCGGATGTTAAATATCGGTTAATTAAATAGTTGATTAACTTCATGAATTCTTATTGGTTACTCGACTATTCTGTAGTCCCTTGCGGTGAGGCTGGCAGCCAGTGCACTCCATCCCCAATCCCGAGGAGCCCCTTGCCACTCTACACTTCTGCCTCTTTCTCTGAGGCAGCCTGTGGGGTCCCAGGCAAGAGCTGGTCTGCGAGGGAAGCCAGTTTAAAAACCAGCTCCCCTCACAGACTGGCTGCCTGTTGCCCCGTGCTGTTGCCTCTGATATAGAGGCTGCAGTGCAGGGTGGCAACTGCCCCTGTCCAGTGGGGGTCTGAGCTTCTGGACCCGGTGTGAGCCAGATTGCCTGCCTGCCTGCCTGCCTGCCTGCCAGGGCCCGCCCACCCTCCCGCCCAGCTCCTAATACACTTTAAATGCAGAGTCACAGCATGGGTAGGTCCCAGATCCTGAACAAACTGGGGATGAGCTGGGCTGCTGGCCAGTCTGCTAAAAAAATGTACTGGCAAGGGGGTGGGAGATGCATGTAGCCTATAGCATTAACTGATAAGCTTAATCAGTTTATCGGTTACATCTCTGCTACAGAATTAGTTGGCTATCTGAGTTATCGATATTAATCAGTTTATCGGTTACATCTTTGCTACAGAATTAGTTGGCTATCTGAGTTATCGATGTATTTGGCATTGTGGGATTAATTTGCACTTTTCAGCTTTCTTAACATGTTGTTTACTCCTTAGGGCTCTCTTTCTCCATATTATATTCAACGCTATGGGTTTAGTCCAGACTGTAAAGTTGTAGCATTTACCGGTGACAATCCAGGTGAGAGAGTAAACAAATATGCTTCCATAATTCTGTGTTTGAAAATTGAGATTTATTCAGTGCATATTGCAATATACAGATGATCTACAGATGGTGGAAGAATGTCACACACAGGCACCTTTTTCCAACAGCTTTTGTCACTGATTCTTCTGAGATAACACACTTTGTTTGAGATATATAGTGTATAGACTCCAAATGCATCTCATAATCACTGTGCACCTAAATTCTACCTTGATAAGTTTTTGTTTGTCTACGTCTCAAAAACTTCCTTTGCCAGTTAACAGTTTCATTTTAGCTTGAGAAAATCTATTGTTTAAAGAACTTGCTTTTGTCTTCCAAGCCTGAAGGCAGAAACAGAGATCAAAGATTTACTCTTAACTACTAGAACTTTTATTTAGTTAAGCTTTTGGTCCTGTGTGTGAAGGAGAGAACACCTAGTTCAAATAAACATATTTAAAGTAAGACAAACAATTCCCAAACCTTTAAAAAGAAATCTGCCATTAAAATCTGTAAAAAGTTTTAAAAGTAAAATTCTATATACAGGAAATAAACCCTTAAAAAAGTAGCGTATAATTTCACATTCACAGTCCCAAACACTGCATTAATGATACTGCTGTGCTTTAGATAGTTACTCGTGTAGAGTGCATATATTTTTTTGAAAGGGAAAACAATGACCAGAAGACAAATGTCAACACTATAAGATATAGTGCTAAGCCTTCCTTGAAAAAGACATCAGGAGATCAGGCATCAGAGCGCTGGAAAGTTTGTTTTTATTCTTTTAAACTTCCTCATTAATCTCATTGGTGCAGAGATTTTAATGATGCCCTTTATTAAAATTCTAATTAAGAGATAATTGCAGGTCTTCAAAATTCCCTAGTGTCCAAGATGTGCTATATTTATGGAAATACAGGCAGTCCCCGGGTTACATGGATCCGACTGACATCGGATCCCTACTTACAAACGGGGTGAGGCAACCCCGCACTAGCTGCTTCCCCCCAGCAGACCAGGGAGACGCGAAGCTAGAGCTTTCCCCTCCCCCAGCAGACCAGGGAGACGTGGAGCGGCTTTTCTCAGCAGACACCTCAGCTTGAGAATAAAGGACTGAGGGAAGTGAGGTGTGGGAGAATAAAACTGAGCTCTGGAGAAATGTTTGGCTACAGTTTCCCCTACAATATGTACCAGTTCCGACTTACTTACAAATTCAACTTAAGAACAAACCTACAGTCCCTATCTTGTATGTAACCCGGGGACTGCCTGTATATGCTTATGGAAGTTCTGAAAACTCCCATGGACTGGAGTGCAGAAGCACTATTTCTTGAAATTTTAAAATTATTTATCTGTATTACAGTAGTGCTTATGTGACCAGGGTAGGAGCTTCTTTTTGCTAGACACTGTACATATGTATAGTAAAAGACAGTTCTAATCAAAATAGACAAGTCATGGAAAATGTAGGCAAAAGGGACTGTCCTTGGTTTCACTTTACAGATGGGGAAATAAGGGAGATTAAGTGATTTGCCCAGTGCAGAATCCTGGGGAATGAGAAAGTATGACATGTCCAAAATGTCTCAGTTCCCTACAACCTGCTTCAGAAAAGTTTTCCATATCTTTTGTCCCAAAACAATCTTAAACCAAGATCTGTTGACACTGCAGATAAGAGGATATGAGCCCCATCATTGCCAGAATGATTTTATGAGGAGTAACAGTTATTTCGAGAGAGAAGTTGCTGCTACATGGGGCGTTTTATTTTGCAATAATGTGATTTCAAAATGGCCGGACGTGATTATGCTAATTAAGCATGGGATATTTAAATTCTGTGCTTCATCAATTTCGGTACACTACATTTGCATTCCTATCTCGAGATAGGAAGCAAGTGTAGACGTACCCTAACAGCTTTCGTGGGCAAAGACTCACTTCGTCAGATGCATGTAGTGGAAATTCCAGAGGCAGGTATAAATAATACATGCCGAGTCTCTCTCTTTCTCACACACACACTTCTCTCTCTCTTTCTTTAGCTCCCAGCTCTGCCTCTTTTGTCTGGGACACCATCCCTTCTGGGAGCCCAGATCTGGCCCATGACAACTTCCTAAAATACATGGAGTGGCCCACACCTAATTATTTCCCACCCGTGCCCTATAATGACTAACTTAATATATTTAGGGTGAATGTCTCCAAACCCTCACGCACCACTCAAGTCCATTTTGAAGTTGTGTTTAGGCCTTGGTATGATTTTCTGCACAGAACAGAATGTCATATATAATGTAGCATAAATACTTTGCATGCCTAATTATTAATTGAACTGTCTTCTGTATGTTTTCAGCATCGCTTGCAGGAATGAAACTTAAAGAAGGGGACATTGCGGTAAGTCAATATGCATTAATGAAAAATGTTCGCATCACTGTGATTAAGGTTAGAGATACTACAGAGACTAAAATAGTAACCTGGACAATAACCTTAGGTTCTCAAATAAATCAAAATAGCGAATCTGTTGATTTTCTATATACGGGAGTCAGACCGATTCTCATTGCAGCTGTTTCTAGAGCTGGATGCAGGACTTTAAACAAACTTGTGGAATACCTGTACTTTTAAGATAATTCTCCAAATTTATAAATTGCTGGGTCTCTTTCTCTATCCGGAATGAACTTAATTGGGTGATAACCTTAATCATCATTTGTTACAATAAGAATCCAGTTCATTTAATGGTGTGATTTTTAAAAAAGTTAGCAGTAATAATAAATAGATTTAATTTAATGTCTATATTGCCTCCCATTTTATAAGTCTGCAATTATCTTCTTCTCCAGATTAGCCTTGGTACAAGTGACACATTGTTTCTTTGGATTCAAGAACCAACACCTGCCTTAGAAGGTCATATTTTCTGCAATCCTGTTGATTCTAAAGCTTATATGGCACTTTTATGGTAATGTCCGTTTACATATTTTTTCTCTTATGTTAAAAGTCAACAAAATATTTCTCGTTCCCTTTGCAAAATGATAATGAATAAAAAGTTCAATATTCTGTACAGTGTATTACAACATTTGCCTCAACATTGTGACAGTCCCATTTTTAATTTGGGGAGCAGGAGCTGCAGAATTGTGAGGAATAAGTTCTGGTGCCAATATAATGGATGGGTTAATTTTTGTATAATTTGAAGTGGCTGAGCAAGAATCTAAGGCAATTTATTAAATTTAGATGAATGGAAATCAAATTCATGGTAATGGTTTAGGGGCTAAATCCTTGACCCAAAGCATGTAATCTTTGCACTATTAGTACAAAAGAGACATAACTGTACTTTAAATAGGTATCTGGAGATGTCTCTTTCATAGATGGGAAGAACTGTGGTTGTTCTGTGACATGCTGGGTGTGTAACTGAAATGTGATCCTATGATGTTGAAATGGCCCCTAGGACAACCCTGAGACTGCTCTAATTTTTCCCAGGGAGATCGTTTGGCCCGTAGGCAATGACAAGGTCAAAGAAGAAGAGAAGACCTTTGTCTGTCCCATCAGTTGCACCAAGTTAGAGACTTTTAAAGCACTGTAAGGGTATGTCTACACTAGCCCCCTAGTTAGAACTAGGGAGGCTAATGTAGGCATTCGAAGTTGCAAATGAAGCCCGGGATTTAAATATCTTAAATGTATACCCCAAATTAAAAAACATAGCAAGAGACCTAAAAAAGAGTCACCGTGGCTTAACCACCATGTAAAAGAAGCAGTGAGGGGCAAAAAGGTATCTTTTAAGAAGTGGAAGGCCAATCCTAGTGAGAGAAATAGAAAGGAACATAAACACTGTCAAATCAAGTGTAAAAATGTAATAAGAAAAGCAAAAAAAGATTTTGAGGAACAGCTAGCCAAAAACTCAAAAAGAAATAACAAAATGTTATTAAGAACATTAAAGGAGGAAACCTGCTAAAAAACCTGTGGGTCCCCTAGATGATCAAGCTATAAAAGGAGCAATCAAGGACGATAAAGCCATTGCAGAGAAACTAAATGATTTCTTTGCTTCAGTCTTCACGGCTGAGGACGTTGGGGAGATTCCCGAATCTGCACCATCCTTTGTGGGTGGTGAATCTGAGGAACTGGTAAGTCTAACTTCAGTACCGGGCAAATTAGTCGAAACAATAGTAAAGAATAAAATTGTGAAGCATGTAGAAGAACATAATTTGTTGGACAAAAGTCAACATGGTTTCTGTAAAGGGAAATCCTGTCTTACTAATCTATTAGAGTTCTTTGAAGGGGTTAACAAACATGCGGACAAGGGGGATCCAGTAGATATAGTATACTTGGATTTTCAGAAAGCCTTTGACAAGGTCCCTCACCAAAGGCTCTTGTGTAAATTACATGGCCATGGGATAAGAGGGAAGGTCCTTTCTTGGATTGAGAACTGGTTAAAAGACAGGAAACAAAGGGTAGGAATAAATGGTAAATTTTCAGATTGGAGAGGGGTAACTAGTGGTGTACCCCAAGGGTCAGTCCTGGGACCAATCCTTTTCAACTTATTCATAAATGATCTGGAGAAAGGGGTAAGCAGTGAGGTAGTAAAGTTTGCAGATGATACCAAACTGTTTAGGATAGTCAAGACAGAAGCAGACTGTGAGGGACTCCAAGAAGATCTCACCAAACTGAGTGATTGGGCAACAAAATGGCAAATGAAATTTAATGTGGATAAGTGTAAAGTAATGCACATCGGGAAAAATAACCCCAACTATACGTACAGTATGATGGGGGCTAATTTGGCTACGACAAATCAGGAAAGAGATCTTGGAGTTATCGTGGACAGTTCTCTGAAAACTTCCACACAGTGTGCAGTGGTGGTCAAAAAGGCAAATAGGATGCTAGGAATTATTAAGAAAGGGATAGAAAATAAGACCTAGAATATCTTACTGCCCCTGTATAAAACTATGGTACGCCCACATCTTGAATACTGTGTTCAGTTGTGGTCTCCTTACCTCAAAAAAGATATTTTGGCCTTGGAAAGGGTTCAGAAAAGGGCAACTAAAATGATTAGGGGTTTGGAACAGGTCCCATATGAGGAGAGGTTAAAGCGACTGGGACTTTTCAGTTTAGAAAAGAGGAGACTGAGGGGGGATATGATAGAGGTCTATAAAATCATGAGTGGTGTGGAGAGGGCCGATAAAGAAAAGTTATTTATTAGTTCCTTAAATAGAAGAACTAGAGGACACCAAATGAAATTAATGGGTAGCAGGTTTAAAACGAATAAAAGAAAGTTCTTCACACAGAGTGTAGTCAGCCTGTGGAACTCCTTGCCAGAGGAGGCTGTGAAGGCTAGGACTATAATAGAGTTTAAAGAGAAGCTAGATAATTTCATGGAGGTTAGGTCCATAAAAGGATATTAGCCAGGGGATAAAATGGTGTCCTTAGCCTCTGTTTGTCAGAGGCTGGAGAGGGATGGCAGGAGAAAAATCGCTTGATCATTGTCTTCGGTCCACCCTAGCTGGGGCACCTGGTGTTGGCCACTGTCGGTAGACAGGATACTGGGCTAGATGGACCTTTGGTTTGACCCAATGAGGCCGTTCTTATGTTCTTATTTGCATCTCATTGCTCCCCCAGCCCTTGCAGACGCCACTGGACATCTTTCTGAGAAAAAAAAAGGTCACTGCACCTTTAAATTACCACGCTCATCGAATCATAGAACCATAGAGCTGGAAGAGACCCCAGAAGGTCGTCAAGTCCAGCCCCCTGCTCTAGGCAGGACCAATCCAACTAAATCAACCCAGCCAGGGCTTTGTTGCAGTCAAACGTTAACTTGAACTAAGTTCTTAGTTCAAGTTAACTGTTACACTTCGGGCTTCATTTGCAACTTCGAATGCCTCCCTAGTTTGAACTAGGGGGCTAGTGTAGACATACCCTAAGGTATTTAGACATATGTTCAATTAATATTGGTGAAAGTTGTGTGTCTAAATCCTCTAGAGTGCATCAAAATCTTTTTTAATAACCTGGGGTCCAAATGATTTGGAAAATGCAGCTTTTGAATATATGATTATTATTGTTTTTTGTTTTTAGTTTTAAGAATGGCTCTCTAATGAGAGAAAGGATCCGAGATGACTGTGCTTCAGGCTCCTGGGACGAATTCTCCAGAGCCCTAAAATGTACGGTTGTGGGAAACAATGGAAACCTAGGTATGAACCTTGACAAAGTTGGGAACTCCAGGGTTTGCTTGGATGCAATCATTATTTCACAAGTAATAGAAATGAAAACTTAGCTGATGATA